GCTGATCGCGATCAGCGTACATCCCACAACGGGTTCGGCCTGTTTCATAGGAACCATCTATCGGACTACATTTTGCAATTCAGAACTACATTTTCCGGCTCATCCGTATAAAACACGTATTTGCATAGGGAAACTAATGATACATACGTTGTTTTTAAACTGAGACAGAAATTGTACCTTGTTCCAAATTGCAAAATGTAGTCCCACTGTGGGTGTGTGATGACCATATTGTAGATAGGTCCATTCGTAAATAGAGCAATTCCAATGGGCCGAGAATATGCTTTTTTGGTTTTACATAATTAATATTGAACGTAGGTCAAGAACCATGCATTATGGTACTTAGTCAGAATTAGACTCAAGACGTTTGTCAACATGATCGCACCCCACTTCACCACTGGTTTAAATTATTTAGTTTTAAACGAAACGATGTTGCGATACACCGCACCACGGTATACGTTTTATGACATTTATGAAATTATGTCACTTTATTCGATGAATACCAATACTGAATTAATTTACCATTAGTCATTTCAAACTTTTACTTCTTACCAGGAAAATTCAATGAATTTCAAACGCAGTCTTTTTCCCTGGCGGAGAGACGTTAATAATGCGAGATCAGAGTCAGCGAAATCATTTGTGATAACTGCATTTCTTCTATGAATACGAAAGTAAATAGTCGAAAACTGTCAGGAGACCGCAATGCAGGCTGCCGCTGAGGTCTGAGCAAAGCTCACCGGAAGCGGCCCAAGGGAGGGAAACCCTATATGTTTATTTTATCGTATAGGTTATGAGCTTTCACACCTAGCGCATGCGATCGCTATGAGACGGTTTCTCATTGAGACACCGCACCACCGGGGTAGAACGGGAAGCCACCCGTACCAACAGGCTCAGTTGTCAAATCTAATGTAAACAAAGAGAAAAAAGAATCGTCTTTCTTTTAATACTCATTAAGGGGCATTCCAGGTCCCACCCTACCTTTTTAGTTTTCATTTCATTTAGTGGTAAAAAATACGTAGTTCGGTCCTGATAACAATATTTTGATTCTTACCAGGGACCGAATCAATTTGAACACAAACGTAACATTTTAACAACGGCCAGATAAGTAAGTATGATCTGGAATCCATTTTTAGCCTGTTAGGGCAAAGGGGCCGTCCCTTAAATACGTAACGCTAAATTTGCGGGTTTTTTACACCCCCATCCCCCCCTCGCTCCATTGGAGCGTTACGTCATATAGGGACGGCCCCCAAAGAGTTCTCTTCTCCCCACGGATTTCACTGTCAATTTTTGTTTTATTTAGTAGCCAGACGGAGTCCAGCTAAAAAACGTGCCCTAAAAATCAGCTGCGACTATGACGCAAAGAGCTTTTTTTTAGCCCCTTAATTTGTTGTACTACATTTCCCTATGTCACGACGCGAATCGAACTAAAAGGCTCGTCTTGCACGGTTTATTCTTATGAGACGTAAGCATAAACGTCTTAGCGATTCGAATGCAGACAGGTACAGCCATGAACTCATTGACGAGAAGACATTATTGGGCTTTCGTATATGAAATACACAACAGGGAGGCCATTTTTTTCCATGCGTTTTTTTAATCAATATTTCTTATTCGCTAAAAGACGTGCAGTTATGCAGCTTAAACAAAACAAGGCAACTTCTCCTGCTTTATAATTTGAATCTGCACTTATTTTAGCAAGCAACTTGAGGGATGACCCGAACAGATTTGATCATTTTTATCGCCACGCATCAAAATTCTGGCCGCAAAGCTGCGTTATTGCGGACGAATCCCCACGACCCCGAAAATGTATTATCTTCTCCCACCGCTCGGTAGGACATAAAGAACTTACTTTTCTCAGAGTTACGAGTCGGATTGCAGTATCGCAGTCATGCACTCTCCACTCTCCTAATGGAGTAAATCATAAACTAGATTGGCCCTAAGCACGAACCCACTACATTTGATTCCAAAAAGGAGAAAGCTGCTACACTTTTAGCACATAACATATTTAAGCTCCTTACATCGTGAAAGAACTCGTGTCCGCAGAGATCTTATAAGTTATGTCTCAGTTTTCAGTAAACGCGAGTAATGTTCTCTTCCATGAGAAATATGAGCGGTCTTGTATCGATTTCCCTCTGTTTTCGTCCAGAATGTGGTTGCCGCGTGTCAAAATAAGAAAGACTTTAGTATTTTTTTAAGTACAACCGAGAATGTCGGACCAATGCTAGGCCTGCTTTATTTTCATGAGGAAATGATCCCGAAAAGGTGCATAAAAATGAACATTGCAGTTCCAACGTGAAAGTGTTATATTATCAGCATGAACCTGCGAGGGGATTATGGGGTGTTTTTCTTCTTCTGTGAACAATTAGGAACCTAATTGCTATTTTTCACAATAAAATAATCGGTAGCCTCGACAAGTAAATCTGAGCTAATTTATTAAAAATCTACCATCGAATTCAGCCGTCTCATGTCGACGGACTCCTAAATTTGCGGATTTGAATATTTTTTCTTAACATGGAAATAATTCTTTAAATTTACTCACAAGTTTAAGCTAAAGAACCCTTGAAAACATAATCTCTACACAAGACATCAATCTATCAATCTATCGGCCTCTCTTTTCAGACACATTTATAGTTTACTTGTATTTGCATACTTGATGAAAAACAGCATCGAAATTGTTGATTACTTTTCATCCGCATGAGTCATTTTCCCTAACACGTACTACCTAGAAGGAGAAGGTTTACAACTTTTTAATTTCTGTTTATTTTTTGAGATCGTCGATTTCGGAATTTCAATTACATAAAATTTTAAAACATTAAACTAGCCCTTCTAAGGCAAAAACTGGCTGTTGAACTGCTCACAGCATGAAATTTGACAAGCTTGGTTCCGGAGATAAAATAGGAAAATCTTTTTATTCGCGAAGGAGCCACGCTAACATCAAATCGTGACTGACGATCCGCTTTGATCCTCGCGATTGTGATTTAAGTCAGAAACATCTCTCGCCTGTCTGCCGAAAGAGCTCTTTGATCTTGCCTCCTTAAAGAATCTTTTTACCGAAGTTCCTCAAAATTATTGTATTTAGTTTTCTTCATTCTCCACATGACTCATGATTTGAGTGTAAAAAGAAGTTCCACGAGAGATCTCAGTCAAGATGGTCGAAGTTTCTGCAAGGAAGAAATAAATAAATGAGAAAATGCACATCATTTCCAGTCGAAACGCAACTTGATATCTGCGGCGATGAAAGCCTCTCGTTTTACACTGCTAAAATACACATCCCAACTTCAATAGAGGTTCATTTACTAATACAATGCTCTCTCTCATTGGTTTCACAGTTGGAGCTCGTATAGATATCCTATACGTTGAAAAGAAGCAAACGATGTTGTTGCCAATTTGACTCTATTTGGAATTTATTCTTCAGTCTATTTTTGTTCTATTATTTCCATGCCTTCATCTAAACGTTTTTGTCTCTACCTTCATGCGCTCCTATAATACTGAAAAAGAGAGTGTGTATGAATGCACATAGTATCTGTCTGTAGTATTTTTGTTCGGTTTGGGGGTTCTTTTGTTGAAGTTGTATGTTGAACTAGAAGTATATAGAATTTAAATGTATTAGTAGATTTTCTTGATTTTATCGATTTAATAAGTATTGCAACACTGCAATATATCTACCCAATTTTTTTTTTTCAAAAAATAATCTATCTGCTTGCGGAAACTAATGGGACACGTGTTTTTTTCGAAATGAGCAGTGCAAAACGTAGTCCATTTCATTTGTTAACTCTCTGAAAATAACTCAGCCCAATAATAATATATTTTAATGGGCTTCAATCTCTTGGGACGAAATTGACAATTTTCTATTCTATGGATCCGAAAATTAAGTACATCATGATGCAATATATAACTTCGTTTTGGAAGCTATCGACAAAAGCATAATCCTCTTCTGTGGAAGAAGATTCGCACAAGGGCGTGGCGTGCTTTGCGCTCTATCGATATTTCCCCATTTGAAGCTGTGGTAAATAATCGATTATTAAGGTGTTCACTGCGAACACCCTGTTTATAAATACTTTTCCAAAGGTTTAAATGGCCGATCAATCGATACATCGCAAAACACGCCACGCCACTGGACTCGCAAATTAGTAACACTCTAACTCTGATGATATCATAACGCGCTTTAAAAGTTGCAGCGAGTTGAAAGGTTTAACTTCCATGATTGTTAACGGAAGCTTTAGTTTCGGAGCCCCCAAAGAGGAGAATTGACGCTCATGTCACTTATAAGTTTAGTCGTAGAGCAACTTCAATTTTGACATCGTATACTCTTGATACCATTTTATGCACATACGGATCAGTTTTTTCCAGTTATCTCCTAGTCTACTGTCAAAAGAAATATTTATCTTCCATCATTTCAAGCCGACTGATTTATTAAGATGTTTTGTTTTATCAAACATTGAATAATCGGAACGAAGGATACGTTTTGCTTTTATTATTCACGCGAAAACCTTCCTTTTTAAAATACTGAGTCCCTCTTCTTTTAAATTGTGTTATCGGTGATGTCAAAAGATTTACTCCCGCCCTCTTCAATAATTCTGTGTAAAAAAGAGATGGGGGACCCCACTCCATCACAGGGTTACATTATAAATCCGTCGGTTGTATCGCGATCGGATTCTATCTCTCTGTTTAAACTCAGGCGTAAGCTCTCGCACTATGATTATTTTGTGGTTCGTTGATTTATTAATAGCATTCAACTTTTTATTTCACATTTTTCGACACGAGAAACACTATCGAGCCAGTGCAAGTATGATTAATGGCGTGAGAGATTGTGTGATGAAGGATGGATCAATCTATAAAAGTGCTAGCGAATACGATGTTCCGCCAATGAGAGATCGACGGAATAAACACGGGATGGCGTAGCGCCAGGCGTCCATGTTGGAGTTGCTATAAAAATTTTAGGACCTAATCAAAAGAGAAAAAAATTGCGATTTCCGTCATGTAACAACTTTTTATTTTCTTTTCAGGTTGCATCGTGCTGTCCCCGAGAATATGACAAAGGAATCGTACGCCTACATTCTACCTTGTCTCAAATACGTCCAAGGTAAGCCTTCAGAATTTTCCTAATTTTTCTTAAGAAATTTAAATTTTCCGTTTTAAATTTGAAAATATTTACCTACAAGGAACACAGGTCCTTTAATGCTCTTTGCGTGGCTCCTTACAATTTGAAAGGAGTAATCATTTTAAAGTAAAGGTTGGATTTAGCTCCGAACAAAGGTTGATTATACTCACTACTAACGAATGTTTACTCTTCCAATTCGAGATAAACCGCCTTATAGAGGTTGAGTTACGTGGCAAAGAAAATCTCCATACCACCGCTGCTAATACATCTTACTCTTTGTTTTTGTTTATCGCTCACATTTGTTTAAAAAAAAATACCGTTGAAAACAAAAGCACCTTGTGGGACACTTACACAAAAAAATAATAAGAAGAAAAAATTAATACAGGAAAAGTAGAATAATCGTCAAGTTTGCCCCGCTATTTTTTTTCTCTTTAATTTCAGCTTGAACACGAAATCAGCATGAAATTCCCTTATAACAATGAATTTAAAAAGTATATAATGTAATTTTTCTCGTGTAATTCCACGGATCACTGAAAGTAAGATCATCTCAATTCTCTTTGTCGCGAAGTAATCTTACGCTATCGTTTTTTTTCTATTTCTTCGTTAACTCTTTCTTGTGCCAAAAATTAAACGATTTTAACCTGAATCGGTGTAACTTCATCAGCAATTCCTTATATTTATCTCATATTTTATGATTCCAACAGTTCCGACTAAAAGTTTTGCGAGTACAGTGGATATCGGATATAACGACCTTGAAGGGACCAGCCATATTCGGTCGTTATAGCCGATAGTCGTTATAACCGATAGTGGAATTTTTACGCACGTACCCTATGTTGAAGAGCTGAGAACAAGGCTGTGCTGTAGGTGGGATTCCAGGGCCCGGTGAATTTTGCTGCTGATTCATTATCTCTTCAGTAACACCTTTGTTTATTAGCTTTATCTAATTTTATTTGAATTGAATATTTATTTAATTCATTTATTTTTTTATTCTAGGACTAATTTTAATTAAACACTCTGCTTGAATTTGTAAAAAGAAGGTATTTTATAATATTGAGAATACATGCATGTTTGCAATACATATGCGAAATACCGAAGAAGTATAAAACTTCTAATTTGAATAATAGTCCGTGATTTCTTTTTGCTTCACAATCGTGTTCGCGTACCCTTTTTGTAACGCTCTATGGGCCGAGCGTAAATTGTGGTAAAGTGGAATCGTTCCATTCTGGGTTCAAAATTAGGAATTTTTGAACAGTTGTGATGGCTTCTAGGGCGTCTGGAAACGAGATCCTCTCCTCTTCGGCCTCTGTTGCTGTCGCTCAAGTCGTTATAACCGATCACCACATCTGTTGGGACGCGAAAACTCCGTCGCTATGACCGATATGTCGTTATAAGCGATGTCGTTATAACCGATACATAAATACATTGAATGAATGGGATTTCAGCCGGGACCGACCAGTTTACGTCGTTATAACCGATGTCGTTATATCCGATATCCACTGTATTCCGTTCGTCTTTCATCATAATCTGAAAGAAATCTTCACAAAGTTTCACGACTTATGTTGCTTAATTTTTTGTAAATATAATTAAATTTTGGCGGAAATTAGGCAACATAAGATGTAGGCTTAGTTCTGGTCAAATCCCTCCAATTTTGATGAACTTAGTCGTCGTGGATGTTTCAAAATCTCATGCAGCAGTATTCTCCATTGCACAAACTTGATGTCTCCAGTGGCGTGGCGTGAATTGAAATGTATCGATTGTTATGCCATTTAAACCCATGGAAAAGGATCGATAAACAGGGTGTTCGCAGCGAACACGTAAGTAATCGATTCTTAACCATAGGTTTAAATGGCATAACAATCGATATATCGCAATTCACGACTCGCCACTGGATGTTTCCCTGTTTTCAGCGCATGTTTCCCCCTCAGATTCCCTCAGTCGTAAACTGAAGCATGCAGCGTGGTCGTAAGGTTGCGCGCGCGTAAATATTAAGGGATACAAATGGAGCCCCAACTCCGGCCCTGGGGTCCCGTTTAAACCAGGATTTTCGTCGTCATCGAGAGCGCGCAACTTTTTTCAAAATAGAGGCGAAAAAGGGTCTTGTCACAGAGTAATCGCGGACATCCGTTTTCCGCTACGTTCATTTCACCGGTCTGGCTTCACCCTTTTTCCTCCGGCTTTCCCGGTTATTCTGCCTCGCTCGAAAAAACACCGTATGACCCTTCCAACGTTGCCATGTTCACTCCAATAAACGACGAATTTTCTGGAAAAATTGCGAATATTTCCTTCAAATTTTTCAGACGCAATTTTGTTCGCAATTCAATACGAAATATCAGAAACCTTCAAGGAAAAATATACATAATTTTCCTTAAAGACGCTCGTTTTATCAAGGGAAATTTGACAAATCTCGAATGTTCATGTGGCGTTTTACCTTCGCAAGGCATTATATTCGCCGGTCTGGACCAACTTTTACTCCCCGGAAACGCAAAAATCGGCAAAAAACTTGGATCCGCGTGGAGTTAGCAGTCATAGTTACGCGGTTCTTAAATCGTAGAGGTGGGGGACAAAGGTTCCAGACGCCGATTCGCCCATATAATAATAATTACAATAGGGTCTCGGGGTTGTTTGCATAGCGAATTCCGCCAACCGCAAGGGCGCTCATAAGCTTCGCGGCTCGCCGGGCAAATAGTGCGGTGCCGCGATGATGCGCGCTGGATTGTTCCGCACAGTACTTGAATTCGTAGTTTATTGTGCTTCGCGGGAATACGTAACAGCTGCACTTTTGATAACGGCCGCGCAATGGCGGAACAGAAGCTCGGGTCACCCACACAGATGCACACGGACGAGCGAGGACGCGCACACTAGCGTAGAAGATGGCTCCGCCATAATTGCACAGCGGCTAAGCAAACAATTCTGTTGTCCCGCCCCTGGATAGGCGCATAGGTGACAACTGGGGTTGTCGGCTCGAACGAATCGGTCTGCTGCAAACTTTAGCGACTGAACTGAAATGAAAAGATCAGGGTGTCTACAAGTCCGGAGATAGCACTGATTTTTTAAGAGCGGTCCGGAAGTACTGAAAAAGTGCGGAAATTCCGCAAAAAAATCCGGATTTTGTTTTAAATTGTTTGTCATTTTTTACGCAATTTCAGATTTTTTAAATTTTTTTCAATTTCGTCAAATGGAGGTACTGAAAATGTACGGAATTTTTCTGTCAGAGGAGGTACTGAATTTCTTAAGAATGTACTGGAAAAGTACTGTAAAAGTACTTCTTTTTGACCAGCCTGTTTTAGTAGACACCCTGAGGATGAGTTGAGGGGCTTGGAGGAAAAGGTGCATATATCATTTGAAGCAGATAAGTCATCTCAGTTTTTCAACCCCACGCAAAATTGAAAATGACCGACGTTATAAGACATAGCTCTTCAAGCGTATTGAAGAGATCTGAAATTCACCCCCAACTCCATAATCTATCTAAATAATAGGTCTACTTATTTTGAATTTTCCGCTTCAGGTATGTAGGACACACCTCTTCAAATATTAAGAAACAAAAAAGGACCTCTAATTATCACCCTAAATTTGCAAAGCAGTAAAATGAAGACGACTTATGTTCATCATTTATAATGTTGTTTGTTTTAATTAAAAACTGCAACATGGCTCAGCGGCCATTTTGAGTTTCACATGGAGGTATGAAACCTAGGTGACTCATTTGTATCAATTTATGTCTTTAACATGGTTTACTTTTTTAGTCGGGAAGCTCAAAAATTCGCAAATTTTCAACGCAGACTGTGCAGTTGGGGGTGAACTTCAAATTTTCTCGATGCGCTTATCATGATTCCAGTCATTTTGAGACATTCAAATGAGACAGTCTCTCCTTTTGCTCCAGCTAAGTTTGCCACGGACTCGTTTATCAGATTAGGACACGAATTCGGTTGAAAAATTGGCAACATGACGAATAATGTTATGGGAAAGCTCGTGGTTGATAATTGATCTGACCCCATGACTCTAAATAAAATATTAGTAAACCTTAATTCAGGACCATACTCCAATTATTGTCAACTAGGGGTCCGCTCCCTACAGCCACCGAGCGAACCAACACCCCAGGGCGCGCTTTACTGCTCTTTTTGTCGTTACCCCTGCGGAAAACGTAACTGCATTTTGACATTGCAAAATTTCCACTGCCAAATTTTATTCACTAAATATGTTTGATGAAGTAAAAAATGGTCGAAAATCAATTTTCTTAAAGAATACAAATTCAGCCACATTTGTTTGTCCAGGCAACACGAGCCCTCACGTGGTCGAAAAGTGGTATCAACGTGAAATGGCACGCTTACACGGAATACACACACTATAAAAACAGTTTTTTACTGGGCGAGGAGGGGTGAATTTAACGCCGTGTCAGTTTGCCTTCAATTTTTAGAGTAGGCAACATGGGTTCCTACGTGTTCGAATAGTGGTATCATCGTGAAATGGCACGCTTACACGGAATACACATACTATAAAAACAGTTTTTTACTGGGCGAGGAGGGGTGAATTTAACGCCGTGTCAGTTTGCCTTCAATTTTTAGAGTAGGCAACATGGGTTCCTACGTGGTCGAATAGTGGTATCATCGTGAAATGGCACGCTTACACGGAATACACACACTAAAACCAGTTTTTTACTGGGTGAGGAGAGGTGAATTTAACGCCGTGTCAGTTTGCCTTCGATTTTTAGAGTAGGCAACATGGGTACCCACGTGTTCGAATAGTGGTATCACCTCAAATACCACGCAAATGTCACCCACTATACACACTGTTACGTAACACTGAGCTTGACACCTCACCACCCTTAATCACGGTCGGTCTCAAAAAGAATACCCATCTACCCCCGAAAGGAAGGCGACATACTGCAGATAACCTTTAAAAAATCTCACGTTTCTCTGGAAAATTGTCAGCGCGCTTATTAAGAGTGTTCCCCGCCCAATTTCGTGATGCATGAGGAGTTGTAAAAC